CCTTTAAAAAGTACTTGGATGAGCACTTGAAGTGTCATAACATTCAAAGCAATGGGCGAAGTGCTAGCAAGTGAGACTAGTGTAGGTAGTAGTGTACCTTTAGCAGTACAGACTTGATAGGCTGAAGGGCCTCATCTGTACTGTATGATTCTATATCTGCTGTTCTATTTGTCTCAGACCGTTCGGGATCCTATAGTACATTTCTAGCAATGTGATTGCTCCCCTTCGGTTTTTAAGCTTTCCCATATGGCTTCATTTGCGGAACCTTCTAAGATGTTATCCCTCCCTTACTGCTGTGACAGTTTCCCTGGTTAATATTATGACACGTTCTCCTCTTTTACCTCCTTTCCTGTCCCACCTGAAGATCCTGTATCCTGGAATATTGAGCTACCGGTCCCCTCTCTCAGCTATGTCTCAGAGACAGCAATGATATTGTAGCTCCATGTTTTAATTTGTGCCCTCAACTCACCCACCACGTTCGTTAGACTCCTAGCATATCAAACCCTTCTTCAGAAAAATTGTATTAGACACGGAATATTATCACTGTCTCTCATTCTACACATGTTGCTTCATCTGCTGAGTATCTCCAATAATTTCTGTTTGGTTCTGAAAGGAGAAGTTCGGAGCTCTCGGGGACACAATCAACTGCCAAAGTCACGTGGCGACACAACGCGGACTTCAATGAACCAGCCACCTTTCCCGGGGCACCACATGACGAAATCACGCATTACCCGTGAGTTAACGTCATGACGTTAAGGATGGCTTGCTTGTGGTCTCAAGATGGCGCCGTGTTGGAGGATATTGCGAGGAATTAGGTATCGGTTCTTGCTTGTGGCGGCGAGGAGGCAATTGTGTTCCCTGGAATTTCCCAAACGCTGTAAGATGTTAATTGGCTTTTCAGGTGTGATGAGTCCTGAATGTGGGAAGCTTGACCAGTTCAAGGTGTTCCTGGGGGAGAGCAGTTTAAATAAGGATCTCGGGCGTGTGATGACGGGCGATTGGGGGTATTTGGGTGGTTATACGGAAGATGAGTTACTGTTGGTGAACTGAGGGGCTAAAATAGCAGTTCAAGGCTATTTATTTTGGGATAATGTAGCTCCTGGCTGGTAGTGTCTGATATGATGTGCATCGGGGAATCACCTACAGCACGAGCAGCACAAATAGTGCAAAGTCCTAGTAGCAATGAACACTGTTCCTTCTCCTGTTGTCTGATTCCAACACTAAAGAGGCCGGTTGCACGATTAATCAGACGAAGAGCGGTAGATCGCATGGGTGCCTAGATTCTCTCTCAAAAACGCTCTTTGCCAAGAAAATAGAAAAGTTTAGCCCCAAAAGTTAGTCTCTCCAACAGTTTCTCTGTACCACACTGAAATGTCAGCTTAAATTAGATGCTCTGCTTCTGGAATAGGACATGAACTCTTGATGCTGGAACAGAGACAAGATCGACATCGTCTATTCAACTTGTACTGTAAAGTTTGTATTTTTGCCCAAGTGAAAAATCTGAAAGCCAAATGGGAAAGAAGCAATAGGAGACTACCCAGAGGCAGACACACAACTTGGGCAGTAGGCCATTCAGCCCTTTGAGCCTGTTCCACCATTCAATGAGATCATGGTTGATCTGTGGCCTAACTCCACATACCTGCCTTTGGTCCATATCTCTTGATAACTTTGCTTAACAAAAATGTATCTATTTCAGATTAAAAGTTAATGACTGATCCAGCATCCATTGCTGTTTGTGGAAGAGAGTTCCAAATATCTACCACCCATTGTGTGTTGAAGTGCTTCCTGATTGCTTATATATCTCCAGAGATACAAAAATTTCACCACAGTTTCCAAATAGCTGCCCCTCGAGATGGTGATTGGAGTGATTTTCTGCACTCTTGTTTTATGTGATCTGTTTGTTATTGCCAAACATTTAAATCCCTTACTGAAGTTAAACAAGTATCACAGCCAAATCTCAGAGATGAACTCAGACTAAGAGTTCATCTTGTGACCAAAATGTTTCACATGACCAACTAGTGCTCTATTTGTGAATCTGTGAGCAATTAACTCATCAGAGCTGATATGAAGTGAAATGGGATCGGTGGGAGAGTAAGGTTAATGGGGGTGTGGTTGGTGGCAATCATGTGGGATTGTGAAGTCGGTACTTGGATGGGAGTTCATAGGTTGGTTTGCGTGTAGTGACAGGGTGAGTTTCTGGGGGATAGAGAGAGACAGATATGCAATGGGTAGAATTTTGAAAAAGGGACCCAACATTTCCCACCCTAGACCAGATTTGATTGAGTAATTGAAATAGTTTGGTAGCAGTGTGTAGCCAATTAGTGCCAGTTCCTTTGGAGACACTGCCAGGGTGTTACCAGCAGCAAATGAATCCAGGCTGCAGGCAAAGCCTGACAAGTTCTTGGAGGCAGACTCTCAGCAAAACCTCCTTTATTTACACTCCACTACCACTACCACTTCTGTAGCAGGGCTACAGCTGCACCTACAAGCTGGCCTGTCAAAGCAGGAAATCCCCCACCATAAATCATTTTAATTTCATCATCTGTTGTCTTGCTATCTAAAGGTACCCTCACTTCCTCCTGCCTGCTGCAGCAGCGCCTGCCTGTCCCAGTGGGACTGCCAGCTGAATAGCTCTATGGACCCATTCATTGGTTCAGTAGGATGTGTTAATGCACTCCTGGAGGCAGACTAAACTGTCAATCGACTGCCTCTGGTAAGATTGCCTGGGCATGTTGACTGTGCATGTTGTCACTAGTGGAGTCAGGAGTCCATTTTGATTCACCCTAGGAAGATTCTGCCCAATGTAAAGGGACAAGAAGTGGCTCTGGCCTTCCACCTGGTTCCAGCCAAGAGTGGCTGTTGGAGCAGTGCCAGACCCCAATATTCTCACTAAAATGGTCTCCCTGGTCAGGTGAGTGCCTGTTCTTTATGTACATTTTGCACTCTTTGAAATGTCACCATTGTAATGTTAAAAATAGGCATACAGCAAATCCCGTAACAACAGTGAAATAATGCCAAGCTCATCTGTTATAGTTAAAATAGGAATAGGAAACACTCACTCAAGTCAGGCAGCATTTGTAGATAAAATAAGAGAGTTAACATTATTGTGGTTTGTTTTATCGTTGCCAGTTGAGTAATAATAACCAGGACACTGCACAAAGTCCCTTGCTGTCTATGGCTGTGGAAACTTCTCCATCCACCTTAAGGGGTCTTAGTGGAAACAATTTCTCACTATCTATCCACAACAAGATCCCCTAGTTTTTCCTCTCCACTATCCTACCCGCTAGGTGGAATTCTGATCACCCCACTGCTGCAGCTGCATCTCCAAGCTCTGAGAGAAATACTGGACGCGTGTCAAGCCCATTCTCCTTTTCTTCCTTCCTCACCTGGACCTTTGTATCCCTGTCTCACATCCACCAAGCTAAAAGCCTTTGTATTCTGACTTTTTTTTCTCCTTCCCCCAAGCCTGTTCACAACTCGTGACCCTGTGACCCATCCTCCTAACACCCTAACAATCTTCTCACCAACCCCTATCCACCAATCTTCTCGTTCCTTACCTTAGGCCATTTCTTCTGACTCCACAATCCCTGTGTAACCATCTCCCTTAAGTCCTTGGTCAACCTCTGTTCCCATTTCTATCATCTGTATTCACTATCCCTGTCCCCCAACTTGCAGTCTCTATCTTCCCCACCCCACACTGAGTGTCACATATTCATACTTGAAGCTGAGAACAAATTTGGTAACAAATCTGTGTACTTAAAAGGAATTGCTTGCTGCTGGCTAACTGAGAATGTCTGTTAAGCAATATGGGAAGCAGTGTGTAGCATTTTTTTTTCAATTTATAGACTTAAATTTCAAATTGGATGAGAAGACAGCGCACAGTTGCTTGGACCTTTTCAAAAAAGAGACAGGAGTTATATACCGTACGATCGGCATCGACCCAAGTAAAGTTCCAAAAAACCCTGAGCGCTTCAGAGAGTGGGCTGTGGTCTTGGCTGATGTGACTCTTTCAACTGGGAAACATTACTGGGAGGTAACAGTGAAACGGTCTCAGGAGTTCCGAATTGGGGTGGCAGAGGCAAACATGTCACGAGAAGAATGTATTGGTGCCAGTGATTGTTCCTGGGTTTATGCCTATCTCCGGAGGAAGTGGTACTCCATGTCTTCCAATGAGATGGTACCAGTTGACTTCTTTGGAAAGCCTGATCGAGTGGGCTTTCTCCTGGACTGTGAAGACAACAAGTTTAGTTTAATAGATGTTGAGAAAGTGGCAGTTATTAGCACAATAACAGCTGAGTTCAAGATGCCACTAGTTCCAGCCTTTGCGCTATGGGATGGAGAGCTCTTAACACATTCAGGCATGGACATTCTGCAAGGCATCTGAATTCCCTCCTGCCTGCCAGTGAAGGTGCCTTCTATCTGGATTTCATTCAGTTTGCCATGTAATTTTTAAGGAAATTGGCTACCATAGCTCATCTTTCCACATATACACTATACTTTTGACCTCTCAACATTCTATCTCAAGACTGTGTCCATGTTCTGTCCAGCTGTAAATGGTGCTATTATTGAGATCCATGTAATCTCCTGAGGATACGCGTGTAACCTCTTTATAATGCAGAAGAGAATTTTACAATGAGAGGACTTAAATCTGTTGCTGGCTGGTTCTGCTTCTGGCTTTGTTCAACTCCTTCCACATTGGATAATTGCATCACCAGCTCTCAAAATGCCAAGATGTAACTTAATTGAGCTCTAGAGGTTGGTATAAAAAGCCAAGACTAAAGAGGTAAATGATCAACAGTGTTGCATGAAGTTATAATTGTATATTCTATTCTCTGTATTCTAAGATTTTAATAAAATATGCATGTAAAAGCACTGATTTTATCAGCTTTACCATAGTAAAATGTCCCAAGGCACATTACAGGACCATCATGAAACAACTGTATACTGATCTGGGGATCACAATTCCCTCCTCTCCAGCCCCTTACAGCCCACTTCTAACTCCTTCCCCAAGTCCACAAACAGGACTGTCCAGACAGGCCCATTGTTTCTGCCTGTTCCTGCCCCAAGGAACTCATTTCTTCCTAAATCTGTCCTGGCCCATCCCACTCGCATCCGCAATTCTTCTGACACTTTGTCAGTATCAAAATTTCTAGTTTGCAGGCTCCAGCCATCTCCTTTACACTATGGACGTACAATCCCTCGACATATCCATCCCTCCATCAGGATGGTCTCGGCTGTCTGCTTCTCCTGGAAAGAAGGCTTGAACTGACCCCACCCCCACCACCTCCCGCTTCCTGGCCGAGCGTGTCCCCACTTTGAACAACTTCTCCTTTAAATCCTCTCACTTTCTTCAGGTCAAAGAGATGGCCACGCGTACCTTCATGGGCCACAGTTATGCCTGAGGTTGCTGATTTGCTTCCCGAGCTGGCTTGTTTTCGTTCAGACATTTTGTCACCATGCTAGGTAACAGTTGCGCCTGTCTCTTTGTGGGGTACGTGGAACATTCCTTGATCCAGTCCTACTCCGACCCCCACCCACAACTCCTTTTTCAGTATATTGATGACATCATCAGTGCTGCTTCCATTTCTCATCCGAATTGGGGAAAAATTCATCAATTTCACATCCAGTTTCCATCCTGCTCTCTCCTTACCTTGGTCCATCTCTGATTCCTCTCTTCCTCGACATCTGTTTCCATTTCTGGGGAATATGCTGGCCACTGATATCTATTACAAACTCTGATTCCCACAGTTACCTGGACTGTAAGACCTCCATTCTATTCTTAGTTTCCCTGCCTGTCACATCTGTTCCAATAATGCCACTTTGCGCAGGGAACCTCGGAAATGTCCACCTTTTACCTCAACCAAAGATTCCCTGCCACCATTGTTGAGGGGACCTTTGGCTGTGTCCAACCCATTTCCTGCACTTCTGATTATCAGCTTTTCTCCTTTCCTTACTATTGTCCATACCTTTGTCTGCCTAACTTCTTTTCTTTCTCTCTGGGCCCCATCTCCACCTATCTGTTCACTCCTTTTACCCCTCACCCCTTTCGTTAGCATATGTACCACCTTTTCCTAGCTACTATCCGCCTTGAAGAAGGGTCAATGGACTCAAAATATAAACTCTGATTACTTTCTACAGATGCTGCCAGACCTGCTGAGTTTCTCCAACAATTTCTGTTTTTGTGCACCATAAGATTTTTTTAAACGCGATTGACTGTTGAGCGATAAATCACAACCAACTCATCAGGGATAACTATCTGTACCTTTTCGCATCATGGTATGGAATGTTTTTGCACTATCTGACGGCAGGCAGAACTTAGATTTAACATCTGTGAGGTAGCACCTTTAACGGTGCTGCACTTTGTCAATGCTGCTGTTAGTGCCAGACCAATTTAGGCGCTCAAATCTCTCGGGTGGGACCTTGAAACCATATCTGAACCCAAGATGAGGTCTGAGGCACACTCTTTGGTCTGTGCTGAGTTATCTGGAGTGAGTGAGGGAGGGTGGTAACACAGCTAGTGCACCCCAGCCCTGGGAAACTGTGGGCAGCAATTCAACCAATACACCTTAGGTCCAGGAGACCATGAGCAGCAATGCAATCAGCACACCACAGCTGTAGGATGCTAGGAGGTGTCATGATTTATACATAAAGAGTATGCTGACAATTGAGTCTTAGTTGCCACAAAACGTATAAAAATCCCAAGTAAACCACCACGGTGATCAATTTACCCGACTGAGTGACTACCAATACTCTAATTTTTTTTCGGTGCATGTCCATGACCTCCAGTACTGCAAGTCAATGCTTTGGCACACCAGACAGCAAAACCTCAGAAGGGCTGTTCGGTTTAGGTTTACTAATCTGCTACCTTGCAGTTTGAATAATGTCCCTTCAAATGCACGCGTGCGTGCATGCACACACACACACACAAAATTCACTGGGGTGGGATTGGTTAGCTCAGTTGGCTGGACAGCTGGTTTGCGATGCAGAGTGGTGCCAACAGCACAGGTTTATTTCCCACACCAGCTGAGGTTACCATCTCCTTCTCAACCTCTTTCCCTTGCCTGAGGCATGGTGACCCTCAGGTTAAACCATCACCAGTCATGTGTCTTTGTGGTGAGAGCAGCCCTATAGTCTGGTAGGACTATGGTGACTTTACCTTTATCTTTGATTCACAAATAAAACAGACAAGAGACAGATGGTTTGACATAAATATGGTTGGAAAAATATAAATGGAACAAAATGCTAAAGATCAGAAGTCCAGATTTCAAGGGTAGGTTAAATTGTCTGTCTCAGTTCCTTTTGATTTCAGTAATGATGACGGGCTGATCTGATGGACCTAGGTTATTTGTTAGAATTATTTTTAATCTTTAATGGTTTTTCCTGCCTTTTCGCTCACATTGGGGAAAATGGAGAGAGAGATTTTCTATTTGCAGGCACTGGAGATCTCTGGGTGCATTGCACTTGCAGATCTGGTAAATAGAAATAGTTTGATCTTAGAGTAGGATAATGTGTCGGCACAACATCGTGGGCCGAAGAGCCTGTACTGTGCTGTACTGTTCTATGTTCTAATGCAACCAGTGTATCCCAGCTCCAGGAAACATGGGGAGGGGTGCGGGGGGAAGTGACCAGGAGGAAGGGATGGGGTGCAGGGAGGGCAAGATGCTGGAGGACACATGTAGAAGGAGGCAGAGTAAAAGGGATGGGGAGGAGGTGGTAATGGGGCAGAGGAAGGAATTTGTGGATGAGGGAAGCATTATGCAAGAGGCCAGGCCCGCTGTTGCTGTTCAAGCGGCACTTCCTTCCTGGACCTCATTGAGGAGCAGTACCATTTCCCCAAGGAGTTTGTCACCGTGCTCTGTCATCTACTGTCAGTAAGGGTAGGAACAGGACTTGCTGAGACTGTCAGCAGCACTGTGTGGACCTTCATTTTTAGCTTTAGGCGCCTTCTGGGTTGCAGCAGGTGACACAAGGAACATTTGACAATTCACAGGCTCCTGTTGTGTCTGGGAGGTCACTGTAGTCAGGTGACCACAGACCCAAAATTGGACATTCTAAATTGGCCCACAGCCTCAGGCCTGACAGAAAATTGGCCAAACTGAATTAAACAGCAGCCAGCAGCTATCGGCTACGGAGAACAGTGAAAACAAATGTCAAAGAGGTCACAGATTCGGGGAGAACCAGTTACAACCAGCCCAAGGGTTGTGTATTGGAGAAGTGTTGATCAGACTTTCTGGCATCTTGACTGCCCGAGTATATGCACTTTACCCCTCTCTAGCGTGGCCACAGTGAAAAGTGTTGGTGCAACCTAGCTCACGACCCCATTGCCCAATGGCCACAGAACATTCTGGAAGGTCTGGGCGAAGGAGGATAAAGACTCTGTAAAGACTCAATCTGGCCCAGCTGTGGAGCTCTGACCATCTAAAGAGAGGAGAGAGAAGATCCACCCTAATCAGCAAGACCCACAGAGAGGGAGGAGATTCCAGTTCAAACATGTAGATTGTTGCAGGTAACATGCTCTCTCAGACAGATAGAGCTAGATTGTAAATTTTGAGAGAATTTTGGAAATTCACACATGGTGTTTTCAATAAAGAATATTTTGTTAATAAAATAGAGTTGAATTGTAAATTGAATTCTGTGACCCTTTATCTGTTTCACTGACAAGAGCACTTGGTTAAAGTGTTTTTTAGTACATAAACTGGTCGAAGTGTACAAAGCAGAGACATCTGTGTTCCTGTGTGCTGTTCAATTAGAAGTGTTTGTATAACCTCCAAAGTCAAACCCCACGAACCTTGAACTCTCAGACATCAAGCCGGAGCCTGAATTAAAAGGAGAGTTCCCCCATGTGTATGTGAGGATTCATGTGGGTGAAAGAGGGTGAAGGTTTCCAACCAGTGACTGGGCCATAAACCAAGTGCTTGCAACGTAAGGAGGACAAACAGCCATAGGTCAGTACAGGGTTGGGCAACCACAGAAATCAGAGGCAAGGAAGCCAAATACAGGGTCAGAGGACATATGTGGATACAGAGAAGCTAGAGTAGGGTCAGAGACCCAGTAGGTAAGAGATAGTGAAAAGGGTCTGGGACCCAGAGTTGCAAAGAAGTGTAAAAAAAATGTAGCAAATATAAGGTCAGGGACCCACAAGAGAGAGCAGTAATTTAAAAGGAACCAATAGGAGGAATGGCACAGGGCCCAGTGTGGGAGAAGGTAGTAAGAAAGTACCTAAATAAGTGGCACAGGTGAGTCAACCATTGCAGTCAGCTAATATCGGGCCTGGGACCTGGGGGACAAATGCTGAAAGGCGGCATGGAAAGCTGAAAGGAAGAGTGCTTTAAAATCTAACAAGGCTGTAACGATAGCCAACCGCATGGAGCAGCTGAAAAGTAAGAACGGGAGAAGGTGAAGCTAAGTCAGGAACTGGAAGAAATGTAGCAGCAGCTGGAGAAGGTAAGAGTCAAAGCAGCAGAGCAGAGGAACCAGGTGAGCCATAGACTTGACAGTTTCAGACCCAGTGCAATAGAGTATACCAGGAGGCGCAACACACAGTCAGTGATCAGGATACAGCCCAAAAAGCTGTGGA